CATCCTATCTACTTCTTATTATCGCTACACCCCCTGCCTCGCCTTACATATATTTTCAACATTGCCACTCTGCACTTGATATAGCGAATCCACTTCACCACTATTAAATGATATAGCTATTCAACTTTGCCACTGTGTTTCCTTGCGTGGTTATAGTGCGTAAATGTCATCTGCATGAACAAAAAAAATGAATTTCAAAAATTATAAATTATAAAAGAAAATAAAAATCTGTCTCGCAATATAAATTTGATATTCACTATCAATTAATCAGTGAAATATATCATGTATATAGTCACGCAGATTACATGTGGATATCAGGTCTCTCTTAAATAAAATAAAGGTCAATTTCCATTCTGTATATCATCTCATTTTCACATTCTCAACAAGAAAAATCGAATATTGTCCATGATCTCTTTCCATGTTTAATCGATTGATGGAAATCTGATGTATCACTTGAAGCATTTATTCATAATGTTGAACCCATTTGAAAAAATACAGCAGCTGCAAGGAACGTTGATCTTTTTAAGTATGTAGCCCGTTCATAGGACAAATTAAGATAATCTCAAAGTTAAGCAATATATTGGCATCGTTCAAGGATTACGAAGCATTTCTTGACTGCGGGACACATTTGTCTTATATTTAATGCCTTGTTTTTTCTTTTATCAATATTGCTTCTGGTTTCTTTGTAGCACATCTTGAATAGGATGATAACACAATCACCAATCACTGTCCTTTTTACATTTCTTCTTTTACGTAAGAAAAATTCTAAATTTGATATGATCGCTATTATTAAGTTTTCTCACGAAATAATACTTAAACGTGCCTGAAATATCGCGTGAAATACTCGTAACACGCTAACAAATTCTCAAGACTATAGAAATAATATATCAACGGTAGATGAACTTATGACCATATAGAATTTGTTAAAAATTTTATCTACGAAAAGTTATTAACTTTCTATAGACGGAAACAACGTTGGTAAAAAGAAACTTTTAAAAAGGGATAAAATTCAAAGTTTCAAACTTAACCAATTTAAAGGGACGATTGCGCTATTTTGGGGGGTTGATTTAAGTCTTGAATATAATTATGTCAATAGTCTTCAGAAGTACTAGAAATGTGCGAAAATCGCATACTTCCTTCAAAAATATCTCAAAGTAGGAATTTTACTCACTATTTCTATATATGTCTTTTGTATAAATCACAGAGTAACTTAAATTGACGAATCGATAATTCTGGACATACATGGATTTCAAGGCTAGAATTTCGACGGTGAGTTAAAATTTTCCCGTTTCTGAGACTAAAGTATGATTGGTGAAAAAAAAGGTAAAAAAGTAGGTAACTATAGCGCTCTCTACTTTCTTTGTATACATGTATTGGCACTACTAATGATATAAGTATTTTTTCATGCGTACCAAAATCGTTAACATGGGGTATTTTGTTAAAAATTATCCGAGACGAAATAAAAATTGCACTTCAAGTTTTGACTATACCAAGTGCAAATAAACAAATAAATGATTAAATAAATAATTACAAAAACTTACCTTAGCTATGAGTCTCTAGATTCTTATTCGGACCAAATTAATTTCTCTGTCGTTGCTTTCGGTGTTTTGTTTTTGCTGCGAGCACAAATCAAGTGTTTCCTTTAAACCACAAAGCAGTTGTGTGAATGATGAATCTTTGATTTTTTATTTTGTCCTTCATAAAAAAACAAGAATTGTCAGCCGTGAATGACTGGAGGAGATAGTCAGCTTATTGATTATTTTATTGAATTGATTCTAATATTAAATAAATTGTTCAGAATTAATTTTTGTCGGTCTTCATTAAAAGGGCTAATCTTATGCCCTATCGATTTGTCGATTTTGTCTTCAAATGGTTCGAACTTTAGACATCGTATCAAGCAGCATACGACACTTTTATGTGCTCTTTTGAAAAAGATGGGGGTGGGACTGGGGGTCAACCTTTCGACTGACAAAACCTAAACGCTATTAGACTTTCAAGCCATCTGGAAGATTGTGATAAGTTTTTCGCAACAAATTGATATGGTCCCGAACGGAGCAATTAGAATCTATGATAATCCAGCTTTCTGTCTGTGATGACGTTTAACAAGGTTTTTAACTTTTCGGTGATGCGAGTTGCTTGTGCATTCATGAAAATATTAGCTGTTCAATGTTTGACAAAAGGTGGGAATGGCATTTAATGTATTCTATTGTCACTGCATTGTCACTGCATTGTCACTGCATTGTTCTTTATTGTACAGTAAAATGGTGTAAACCATCTATTTTAGAGGCTAAAAGGTAGGATGTAAAGTTCCGTATGAATTTCATCACTCACTTGGTTTACACTCATTGGAGCATTGCTTTGAAGAACAGTAAAGAATGTTGTTGGATTGGGACTTTTTAATTTAAATAACTCACTTCATCCAATTGATGTGCAAGCACTGTGAGTGTTTTCACTTCTTTTAATGAGTTACAAATGAATAAATCGTACTAATACAGCACTGGCTGAAACATTATCAAGTGTGATCAATGGAACCACTTTAAGTTTCAAGTAGCCTTTAAAACACCCCTTCTGGCTAGTACAACTTGGAAATTTGCATTTCATAAGATCATCAATATAGGCAAATGGATTGATAACATTTTGTTTTGATCGTTTATCAATATATGTGTGAAAATCAACACAAGAGCCACAAGTATAAGTATGTACTAATTGGCATATTAAGTAAATAAACACTGTTTACATGAAAGGAAAACGTCTCATTATCAGAAAATAACAATTATAGTCACATTATTATATCATTGAGAGTTTTCTCTTGAGAAAGTCGATCTTTGTACTCTACGCATGTGATACCTTCTTTATGAAAGTGAGAGTCTCAATAAAAAAAAATCTTTATTCGCTAATATGTTCCTTGATGCAATTCTCTAAGCTATTTTTTTTTGTCTTTCTTCGAATATTCAGTTTTAAAAAGTTGAAGACAAGAGAGGGGATAATTCTTACAAATTTGTTCCGCGCTTTGTTCTGTCATTGTATTTAGGAAAATATGGTACGCTCTTTATTGAGATCCTATCTAGTTCATGGTAATTTTATTGAATTTGCTGTTTGCAGAATAGTCATCAAATACATTGGTAGACAATTTGAAGTAAATTTAATATCATATAATATTAATAAGATCAAAATGACTCAATATGGACCTATATTTTACAAGAATAACAACTTAGATATATAGACACAGCTTTATGGAACAACAATCACTGGTGTCTGAGGACGAATGGGTAAACACGTCGAAACGTTGCATAAAACTTTAACCAGTGATTGTTGTTCCATAAAGCTGTGCCTATATATCGTACTCACAATTGCTAAATGCCATTCAAAGACTTTAATAACATACAACTTAGGTTTACAATTAAGGATCTTTTCTATCAGATGGCCCTTGGTCAGCCTCTTGGCATTGATCTTTCCCGGATTATCCGTACTCATTTACAATGGGGTTTACTGGAATTATGATCTTTGTTCTTGATTCTTGAAAACATCAATTTATATTCTATAACAGATTTCAAATTTACGTGCGAAAAATACATTAAAAGTCCTTGATTTCTTTTACAGTCTTATATTCTTGGCCAAGTGTCGCATTTTTAGAAGTGATAAAAAGTACTTCAGGAAACATCTTGTATCTGATATCAATTCATTGGCGAACAAAAGCACCTTCAGATTACCAAGGGGACCAAATGGACGACAAGTATTCCAAGGACGAAAAAGAGATGTGATTTTTGGCAAGGTTTTAATTATTTGTTTGACACGATATATCCGGCATTTAAATATACATGCTATTCACGTTTGTGCTTAATTATGGAGTTTCGCTTTCTTGTATTCTTTTCGGAACTGCTATATCTGATTATGGTGGTATTGAATATGTTCAACTTGCGATTATACTAGGTTTATGGTATTTCAAGGGAAGTAAGCACGAAATTAATACAAAACCCAGACAGCAAACATTTCAGTATCAATATGGCTTGGAATGGAACAATGAACGTCTAATGTTCAATGGCCTAAAAAAAAATACCGCCTCCTCGGTGCTCAAACGGTTTGACTGATCCTTATGGATCTTAAGAACAATGTGGTGGCAACAACAATTGAGTGGGTGGACGCCACTGAAAGAAAGGCCGGGATCTTGAGCAAGCTCAAAAGTCTCATTAAATTTAATGACCCATTGGAGAAAGCAGCTATCATTTTGAAATCATTTATTTATTTCTCATTTATTATTACTGATTATTTGTTTAATATAAAAATAAAATCTGCACATGCAGTCATAAAACAATCATAACAAACTGATATAAATAAATCTCAATGATCATAAATCAAAACCGATAAATACTAGGTACCATATCCTCATAATGTAAAACCACGTGATTAGTAAATCATAATGGTTTATGTGGGAATGCCAATTCTATTAGCACTATTCTGATTTCCATTCAAACTCTATGCTTCCTGATATTGTAGAAAATCTTGACCCGATTGTCACTATCGCAACTACCATTCAAGCAAAAGGATTCTAGCTGGAATTCGAACGATCGAGCACTGTATAATGTCATATGGTATCCGCAAGCACAATATAACAAACTATGTTATTTCTGATTGGGGGAATGGTACCTAAGTTGGAATTCTATAGATCAACTAGATTAACTATTGAGTTAACTATGGGATTGGTTGGCTTCAGGATTATACGTCATAGTAATCGAAATACAGCAAGCGCAGTTTGGACCTGCACACGATTGCGATGACGATGTAACAAATATGTAAAATCAATCCTTTCGACCGACCTGCGATCGAGATTTGGTACGTAGGGGAAGATTGGGGTTGGGATTTGGGATCTTATGGGTAAATCACACGTGACATTTGACGTTGATATGGAATCTAGAATTCATGTCAATTAGCCGGTACACTGCAATTTCCGTACATTTCAGGCCACCGTTTGTGATATACAACATCCTATCATGCGCACAGCGTACTGACAAGCCACGGGGACGGCGAATGCCTTTCTGCGACGTAACAAGGTGCTGAATGAATGTTCCATTAATGTTATAAAGAGTCACGCGGTCATTGTAATGATCGGCAACGTACACATTTTCATCCTGATCGACGCAGATACCATACGGAAACTTCATACCACCATTTCCGGAACCATAAGAACCAAATTTATAAAGAAACGTACCATGAGAGTCAAAAACTTTAACACAATGATTACCAGAGTCCGATACTAGAATTTTGCCAGAGCTGCTTACGCAAACGTAACGTGGTTGTTTGAAGTCGCCACCCAACGATCGAATACAGTGACCACCACGACTAAATATAAAAACATCGTTCAGTTCTTCATCTGTAACAATAAATCGTCCTTGTTTGTCCACTGCAATTCCGCTTGGGCACTGAAAAATGTCAATTCCGAATTGGAACATGGTCTCTCCACGAGCTGACCATATTTCCACGATCCTTTTTCGCCTTAACGTGACAGCAATATAGCCACGTGGAGTTACCACTGACGCCCACGGTTCTGAGCCTTCCTCTGTTATGAAAGATTTTCGAGGTCGTCCACTTCGAGCAAATAGTAGTAATTTATTATTCAACATGTCTGTGACCAAAATAGCATCTTGATAAACATGGCTGACGTGTGTCGCATTCTGGAGCTCTTCATCCTCTTTGCCTTTTTTCCCACATCGGTTAACGAACTTGACATGGTATTTGGATGTCGCGTCTTCCTCCCAAACGGAATCGCAGTCACTAAACAAGGTACCCGTTTCTAAAGGATCGTAAGAGCCAATTAAGGAATCATTATTGTCAATTATTAATTCTAATAAATTAGGATCGGGTATACACGAACTGGAATTGCTTCGACTGCTTGAGGTAGATCCTGATTTGATGGAGGACGACTCAGATGACGTCCAACTCTTCTCGGAGTTGCAATAAGAGTCTCTTCGGCAGATGTCCATAGGTGTTGGGACAGTTAGATGGTTATGCTTTATAAATACTTTAGCTACGGGCATCGACTTTCTTCTTTTACTGATTTTATGTTGGGTTCTTGAATCTGAAATAACAGTTTAAATTGATAAGTATATTATACATCTAATATAGCGCTTAATATGTATTAGAATTAGTGACTAATAATGATATAAATACTATTTGAATACAGGTGACCTTGAAACGGTCTCTTAACGGTCGACTAATGAGGGCGCTAATCAATTTTTTGGCATTTTAGAATACACATCGTTTTTAAAATGAAATACAAAGTCTCAAACTTTGTTAATCAGTTGGACATACCAGGTGCCATGACTTAAGAATAGAACCTCTATATAACACGATATATTTTTTGGTCAGTCTAAGAGGTAGTATACCTTTAAATCATGTATATTTCCCCTCATGGTCGCAGATGGGATACATAATACATAAACAATGTATCTTTTTTTCAAAACCGACAATCGGTTTTTTAATCACTTTATACTTTAATGGCCAGCCGTTTTCGTTTGTGATTAGTGTTTCTTTTTTTTAAATATCCATATATTTTTTTAAATGCCTATTCAAACAATTGCTTCTTTCAATCTATTTTTATTAAATCGTGAAATTGAGTCAAAATTCTATTTTTGTTCTAAAAGCGTGTTCTTGTGGTAAAAAAAAGTACTTTCGACGTATGTGATGTTTTGCGTCACGGTCAGAAATCACGATCTCCACTTGGACCCGAACGCTTTGAACCTGCTTCTGTCAGGCCCTAGCTGAAAATAGTCACTATGACGTCATAGTTTTTCTTGCTTCGGGCGGTATACTGTTCACTTGTGCTGGGCGATTTGACACATTGATTTTGCTACTTGTCCCACTGCTAAATTCGTGAACGACTCAATATATCACAATAAGTTAAAAGAATTGTCACAAGACGCAATTCTTAGACATTTATTGTTTATTCATAATGGATGTTGGAAATACAGTATTATGTGGGATTTAAGAGTCACTAAAAAGGAAAAGTGATAATATTATTTCGGTAGAAAAACAACAGGCAATAAAAATGTACTAAATTTGAAATACATTGTCACTCAAATTGCGTGGTCAATTCAATACAATAGTAAGAGTTGTGGACCTATAGCAATCATTGTACCGAATAACCGAAGAATATAGCTTAGGTATTAGGAATCGACTCTCGGAAGCACAGGCACAGGAATCAGAATTTTTCTTACCAGACAACAATCCAACTTGCTACCGACTTTATGCCCGTTTACACGAGATGGACCCGCGGATTTACTGACCCGGGTTGACTCAGGAGTTCAGGTAATCATTGGCTGTTTTGGGGTGCCATTGTGGGACAGTTTGGGGTTGTTAGCCCACAAACCTAACGGTAGACAACTTAGCTATATTGGTTGCTTAATAATAGCTGTATTCTGTCCCACCTGTCCCAGTTCATTGATCTAGACTTTGTCAAATAGAATTTTGAAATCAAGGTGCAATCAAGATATCAACAGGTGACATTGACCTTGCTTTCTATCGCTTTCAAAATCAACAACTGAATGGCATGCTATTTCAATGAAGCTAAACTAAACTAAATCTCTTACATACAAATAATATTCCATTTTTGAAATGTTTTTGAAACAGACTTTAAATTTAGTAACGTCCAATTGATAATTACAAACACTAGCCATTCTAAAAAAGTATTTCGAATTCAGGTTCGAATTGACGAGTTATTTCAATAATCCTAGGTATTTTCTCTGATCATTTATATTATTGATTGATGATGCCTTATTAATTTGAATAATCTTGAATAAATTAAATTTCAATAGGGATAGTTGATCTAATTATACAAAAAGCGTGATGATAGTTGCGAAAATATTTATTTAGTCCATCTGTGTCCGTTTCTTTTTGATTGACATCTTATTTAATTGTCATTTTTAGTTTTGGTATACATAGATCAAAGGCAAATAATAATTCGGAAATCAGTCAATCATGTAGGACATAAATGTCATGATTAGCATAAAGAATAATAAAAGACAAAACAGAGAACCTTGAGTCATACCGTATCCAATATTTCTATTTTAGGTACGTTAGTTAGTATTACCCTAGGCAAAAGGTACAATGGACCAAAACACAGGATCTCAATGGGTTCCAACGAGTTTAAATGTTGCGAGAAATTCCGTTCTGAGCCCTGGTTGTACCTTGTAAAATTTATGAATTAAAATGAAAACTATGTTTAATTTCCAGAAAATGGTTGGCTTTCGACAGTGTCAACACGCTCGTAGTCCGACGTGATTGTTCGGAGGGGCAAGTAATATATTCAGAAGCGCAATGGTGTATGGTGTTTAGATACAGAAATGGTCTGTAGCTATGTGCTAAAGTGTCTACATTCATCGTAAACCAAAAAAAAAAAATCAAGTTATGGACGATGCTCTGCGATCATTTCTCAATGTTATTTACATGAATCACGTGACGCCTGATCAAACACTACAACTGGGTTTGTCAACTTGAAGAGTCTTCAAAGCTAATATTATTATATTTGTCATACTTTTGCCACTAAATATTAAAGCTCCCTGGATTTAACCCCTTGAGCCTGTTCAAAACAACCGAGGCCACTCAAAGACTTGGATTGCAACCAATCCAGGATACAAATAGCTTATATTGCATTGGATATATTCATTGCAAGCCCTCTAGGAATTTCTTTTCCAAATCTTATTTATGCCCTTCTAATAAAAAATATGAAAGGTTAGCGATAAATAGGGCAAGATACATAAACCTTTACTTCATCACCTGGTAAGTGATAGTGTATCAATACCGTGGACACAATACATACACTGTTCTGTGATAGTGATTGATAGAGAGATCACTATGTATCATATTGTATTTATAACAGCTGACATGTCATTCTCGTATACTTTCAGACATTTTAACAAACATTTCTGATTTGTGGTCAAGTTTTTTGCCTCTATGTGAATTGTTTACAAGATGTACATGTATTGTTTACAAGACGTATCATTGTAACGTTGACACTTTTCGTATCTATATTGTACAAGGTCTACATTCTTTGCACATTCCGTACACCCGACCTTGACTTGTCAATTAACTATTTGCAGCGTCTGCAAGTTTCTCTCAAGCACCATGAGCAAGAAACATGGCGTTCATCCGGCTCTACCCACTAGAGGAGTTATGGAAGAATGTATAATGTCCAACCCTGTTTGTAAAAGTACATTCTGTACACCCGACCTTGACTTGTCAATAAACTATTTGCAGCGTCTGCAAGTTTCTCTCAAGCACCATGAGCAAGAAACATGGGGTTCATCCGGCTCTACCCTCTAGGGGAGTTAGGGAAAAGTATAATGCCCAACCCTGTTTGTAAAAGTATGTTCTATACGCCGTCCTTGATTTTTCAATTAACTGTTTGGATAGTCTGGAAGTTTCTTTGAATCATCATAGAGATGAACGTAACTCCGGTCGGAACCGGAGTAGTTCGATTCCTGATGTAGAACTACATTTTAGTGCCCTACATATTTGGGGATCTTTATTCGTAACACGTTCCACAATTTTCATCTCTCAGAGCTACTTACGCGGCGTTTAAGTCCTCGTACATGTACAACAACAGATTAGCACAGGCAAGAAGTTTGTCTGAAGCAGAACAGAGCAACAGATGTTGATCTGCAGTGAGTAACAAATTGGCATTTCGTTTACTGTATTGCTCAATGTCTTAATGGCCTTGTTGCGATTAAGGTCGGACTCCCTCGAAGCAAACTTCACTAGAACCTGCTCTTGTACCGTATATACAACTTAATAAAAGCATTGCCTTGCAAATGAACCTTTTTGTGTATTTTTTCATAAAGAGGGGTATCCCGTATCGCCCAGTGCGTAATGTACAAGTCCGTATTAAAGGGACAGATGACACACATGGATTTGAAGGCTCAAATTTCAACGGTGAGCTGTGAACACAATTACTGATTGACTAAGCTAAAAAGAAATCTGTTTCTGAGGCTAAGGTACGATTGGTCAAAAAATGGTGCAACTGTCCCCTTAAATCAAGAATGAAAATCAATGAGTTCTTAATGATTCTTAACCATTGAGAAACAGTCAGTGACCTTGGTGACAAGCCCTCGTTCACACATGTTCAATGCTGAAGTAACACCAACGACAATAGAAGATCTTACACGAGTCGCTGCACATTAATTGTCATGAGCAGGTCAAGAAGTCATTTTAAAGAGGTTTAGGTCAACTATCAATACTTTGGGCTTCTGGACAGGTCATTTTCAAATTTAGAACCGTAACTTAACTCGACTAGAAATAGCAGTCAGTCATTTTTTTCTTGATAAATACAATAAAATAATCCGCTTCTTGCATTTTGGCGGATTTGTTTGGTCAGGCATGAATTGATCTGGTTGTATCTCGTGTGTTGACAATTATAGTAGTTGCGGGTGTTGCGAGAAGCAGATTAGACTTACTCTTTTAGAAACACCTGATTTTGCCATCCTTTAAACGAAACTTCGATTGACGGAAATGTCTTGCTTGTATGGATTTTTATATTAGTGAAAAAATTTCAAAACTGTGATAATACACAAGAATAAACAATGTAATCTAATGCAACCTATTGGTAAAAATAGAGATAACGATAAACAAAAAAAGCAATCTGAAAACTAAATTTTCCATTATGAAATAACCAAATTTGTTCGCAATTTCAAAACTGAATAGCAACAATGTTAGTTAAAAACAC